GGAGCGGCAGTCCCTCAGCACTCGGGAATGCACTGGCTGGTTGGTCAGGGCCCACCATCACAGATACATTTGTTGGCAGCCAGTTAAAAATCTTTACTCTTCGGCCTTAAACTTGGTGGGGCTCTCTTTCCTTGGGGGTAAGCCCTGCTGGGCACCCCTACCCCAGCCTCAGGGTCATGCCCGTTGCCCTGCAGTTTGGCGCAGACACACATGATGACTTTGCCCACATGGACTCTGGACACATCCCTGGCGCTTTCCAAACACACCCCCTCAGTCCCTGTCCTTGGACACTGTGGAGCTAAGATCAGGGACAGTGTGTATGCAGATGTGAACGTCCCCTGGAAAGGCTGTCTTGGTGGTCCCAGGATAACTGCAGCAGCCGTAGGCTGGCTTGACACCAAGACGCACGGTGGACAGCTACCCGGGGGTGTGGGTTGCAGTTTACCCTGTGGCCAGTGTCTTCTTTCTCTTTTGTGAGCGAAGTAGGAAAACCTGGGGAATTGAACAGGGATGCGGTGTGTGCAACAACGCTGTCACAGTCGAAGGACACCTCATCCGTCATTTTTCCTCTTTGTTTGAGGCCCACTGGTGCTCAGGGGCTATTCCTGGATCTGTGCTCAGGAGTGACCCCTGGTGGTGCTGGGGGGACTCTATGGTGTCACATTCCCGGATGCGGATGAGAGGAGAGCTCCAACCTCCCTAATCCGTCTTCTCTAATCTCTCACCCAGGTTCTGTTTATTTGAGCTCTGTTGTCCCAATTTTCCTTGCCCTTGTCCCTCCCCTGTCCTGGCTTTGCTTTCGCTCCTCTTCCTTTTGTTTTGTTACTCTTCAACCGTTCTTCACCACACAGTGACTGGTGCATGGAGCCAGGGGCCTGGCCCAGTGCCCCAGCACGGTCAACCAGGGGCCCGTCATCAGGGAAACGCTACGGAGTGAGGTTCCCTGGCCCCACTTCGGGTCAGGTCTGCTCCCCACGCTTGAAGCTGTCGCTGTGGCCAGCTCCTTTCGGACAGAATTTGTTTCTCACCTCTGTAATGAATTTGCATTCCATGGGGAGATTTGCTCATCCAGCAATGTCTCAGCCAGCTCGTGCCGGGTTCTTTGTCTCTACTGAATTTACACCAGGCTGTTTTCCTCTAACTCTTCTTCCAGCCACATACTTACCCATTTAGAGGAGGGAGTTTTCCCTTTTCTTACCTTTAAAATAAACAAACAAACAAACAAACATTTGTATGGCACCAGAGAGCTGGAGCAGTAGACTAAGTGCAGGCTAGGCATGTGGGAGACCCAAGTTTGACAACTGGTACCATATGGTTCCCTGAGTACTGCCCAGAGCAGCCCCCAGCGAGCCAGGAGTAGACTCTGACCACCACTGCGGGGAGAGGGAGGGAGGGAGGGAAGGAGAGACAGAGACAGAGACAGAGAGAGAATGAAATAAAAATTTATCAGTATTGAGCTTGAACTCAGTCCTGAGCACTGCCAGGTGTGGCCCCCAAAATTTATGAGTCTGGACTTACTTTTTTTTTTCTTTTTGGGTCACACCTGGCGATGCACAGGGATTACTCCTGGCTCTGCACTTCGAAAATTACTCTCGGAGGTACTCAGTGGACTATATGGGATGCTGGGAATCGAACCCAGGTTGGCTGCGTGCAAGGCAAATGCCCTACCCGTTATGCTATCGCTCCAGCCCTTGGACTCACTTTTTCCAAGGTTCAGGGTACTGCTGAATGTCATTACTTCCCCCCCATGTTCTTGTGGTGAACTGAGGTCATACCTGGTGATGCTCAGGGCTGACTCCTGGCTCTGTGCTGAAGGATCACTCCTGCTGGGGCTTAGGGGACCCTGTGCAGTGCCAGGAATCAAACCAGGGTCAGCTACATGCAAGGCAAGCACCTCACCTCTACACTATTCCTCTACCTCCAACCCTTAGAGCTCAGGGCTTACTCCTGACTCTGCGCTCAGGGATCACTCCTGGTGGGGCTCAGGGTCCATGTGAGGTGCTGGGGATCCAACTCTCACACCCTCTAGCATTGCTCTTAGCTCTCCCTCCCTCTGTCTCCATCTGTCCCTGTGTATCTCTGTCTCTCTCTCTCTTATGTAGGACCAGTCTCTTGTTCGTTTATTATTGGGGCCCACCCTGTAGTGTTCAGGGCTCACTCCAGGCTCTGTGCTCAGGGGTCACACCCAGTGGGTCTCCGGAGATCCTGTGTAGTACTGGGGATGCAACTGGGTTCAATCATGTGCAAAGCATATGCCTTTCACGCCACCCCCCGACCCCCCCACAGGGGTCTGTCTAATGAAGGGTCTGAGTCCTGATGGCCTCAGCCTGTACGCCAGCCCCTCCCAGGCCAGCACAGGTCCTCCCCGCCTGCTTTTTTTTTTTTCCTTTTGCTGATTACTGTTCCTGTGGCCACTCTACCTGCCATCCCGTCTAGTCCTGTGGGATTGTTGGGCTGCTTCACTCCCAGGGTGTAAGGGACCCGCGCTCTCCATGCTCAGGCATGAGCATCTGCTCCCAGTGACTCGGAGTCGCTGGTCACGTGCTGTTCAAGCCTTACGAGCAGGAGGAACTGCCAAGGGGAGCGCCTGCACTATTTGTATGCATTCCTTTCTATTTTGTTTCAGCCATTGCGTGATGTCAAAGCCACTTTTAGCGCAGCGGCTGCCCCACGGCAGCGGGTGGGCTGGCTGGAGCCCACGTGCTGGCCCCTGGCGTGGGCAGTGGGACGAAGTGAGACTTCTTTTCTAGGCGTGCTGGGCACACGTCTACTGGCGGGGTGCCGTGGGGATCCCTTGGGCCCGTTCCTGGCAGGGCGGGCGGGAGTCCCCCTTAGTCCACTCTGGTCTCAGTTGCTGCAATTCTGGAGGGGAGGCCCATGTCTGGAGGTGTTAGGGGGCTACTCCTTGCTCTGTGGAGGTGGAAGGGGCCGGGGGGGGGTCTTCTGCCAGCCTTGCTCAGGGACCAGGTTTCAGGTCCTCACGTTGCAGAGCACCTGCCTGAACTCTAGAGCTGTCCCACCAGCCCAGCTGCGGTTTAAAGTTTCCATCTGAGAGTGACAGTGCAGCAGGAGGGCATTTGTGTTATGCACAGCCAACCCCAGTTGGATCTCCAGCATCCCATATGGTCCCCTGAACGCCAGGAGTGATCCCTGAGTGCAGGGCCAGGAGTAACTCCTCAGCATCAACAGGTGTGACACCCTCTCCCCCAGCCAAACATTTTTTTTTAAATGTAAGAAAAAAACCCACATACTAAGTCTCCATTTGGATAGGCAGGACAGCAGGGGAGGCTCTTGCTTTGCAGCTACAGACTCTGGTTTGCCTCCTGGCACACGTGGGGTCACCAAAGTTCCTTCAGGACTGACATCTGAACACAGTCAGGCGTCAGCCCTGAGTCAGGGCCCCCAAACCACCACCACCACCCAAAAAAGAAAAGAAAAAAAGATAGTTCCAAATAGTTCTTTGTTTATTTGTTTCTGGGCCACACCTAGCAGTGTTCAGGGCTTACTCCTGGCCCTGCACTCAGGATTCATTCCTGGTGGTAGAACCATATGGATGTTAGAGATTGAACCCAGGTTGACGGTGTGCACGCAAAGTGCCCTCCTTGCTGTATTACACCTCTGGCCCCAGTTCCAGATAGTTCTCCTTAAGGAAGTGGTATTGTCTCAGTCTGCCTTCCCTCTCCTCCTGCCTCTAGCGCCCGACCTGTAAATGGGAGAGAAAAGTGGTGATGCGTTACTGCACGAGGCAGCGCCGTTTGCTCCTGTGTGATCACAGTGACTTATCTCTGCACACTGTCCCTACAGATGACTGTCTGTGTTCCTCGCCTGCAGTCTCTCTGCTTATTTCCACTTCCCCTCGCCTCCCTTCCCTGTATGGCAGCTATGGTGGCAGAGGATGGCCCCGAGGGGTCTAGGGTCAAGCGAGCTCCACAGACACTGATCCCTGAGGTTCACCTCCAGCCCTATGTCATCCCAGCGCCATGAGCCCAGACAGTCTCCCACCTACTCTGGCCTGTCCTTCCTCTGTGCCATTGTCCAGCCTCCTGACACTCTTGGCATCGACACTGTGCCTCTCCCTGTCACCTAGTCTGGCCTGGTTTGGGGGCATCCCCCCAGCAGTGCTTGGGGCTTAATTCTGGCTCTGTGCTCAGGGGCCATTCCTGGCTGGGACCTGGGAACCATCTGCAGTGCTGGGGATTATTTTTTTTAACATAATTAATTTTTATTTTTTTCCTTTTATTTATTTATTTTTTTATAGACTTATAAATTTTTGTGCTTGGGTTTCAGTTATACAATGATTAAGTACCCATCCCTCCACCAGTGCCCATCCTCCCCCACACGGGTCCCAGCATCCCTCCCACCCCCCATCTCCCCCCGTCCCACCTTGCCGCTGTGGCAGGGCATTCCCCCTTGTTCTCTCTCTCTTCTTTTGGGTACTGTGTTTTGCAAGAGAGGCATTGAGTGGCAATCATGTTTGGTCTATAGACTACTTTTAGCATGTCTCTCCCACCCTGGGAAGGTCTACACAACACCCTTTATTTGGTGCTCTCTTCTCTATCTGAGCATCCTTTTCACCTAAGTGCTGGGGATTAAACCCCTGCGGGCCACATGCAAGACCACTGTGCCTGCTCCTGTGCTGACCCTGACCTGGCCTCACTGGGGCTCACAGATGGGCGGCACAGCACCGCCTGCCTCCTCCTTGAGAAGGCCACATGGTTCCCTTGCTCCTGAAGTGGTTTAATGAGGGCAGGTGGGGGGCTGCCCTGAGCCCCATCGTGAAGGAGCCGGACAAGACCATTTTTCCAGGAAACTTTCCTGGGCTTCCCCTCCCTGCCCCACAGCACTTGTCACTGTGGAAGGGACCCTGGGGTCTCATTGGAAACCCTCCCAGAGGCTGTTGGTTCTGGGAGCTCCTGGGGTCTGGGTGGGGAGGCCCCAGGGAGGCCCACGGGATGGGCTGGGCTCCCTTCCCATGCTGACCAGGGCACCCCTCTACCCAGGGCTCTCACTGGTGGTGGGCCTGGTCCTGTACATCTCCAGCATCAACGATGAAGTCATGAACAGACCCAGCAGCTCCGAGCAGTATTTCCACTATCGCTATGGCTGGTCCTTCGCCTTCGCTGCTTCCTCCTTCCTGCTCAAAGAGGTGATGTGTGCATGGGGCCCGACTCCAGGGTCTAAGGCTGACAGAAGGGTCTGGGGCAAAGGGAAAGAGGATGGTAGGGTTCTAGTATCAGGGTCTGAGGGTCGAGGGGCTGGGGGCCTGGAGGAGAGGCTGAGGTTGGATCTGAGGGAAGGTGGCAATCCCAGAGTTGGAGGTCTGCAGGGAAAGGATGGGGCTTGTGGCCAGCGCCCTGGCCCTGACCCTGCCTGGCCACAGGGGGCGGGCGTGATGTCCGTGTACCTGTTCACCAAGCGCTACGCGGAGGAGGAGATGTACCGCCCGCACCCCGCCTTCTACCGCCCGCGGCTCAGCGACTGCTCCGACTACTCCGGCCAGTTCCTGCAGCCCGAGGCCTGGCGCCGCGGCCGCAGCCCCTCGGACATCTCTAGCGACGTGTCCATCCAGATGACTCAGAACTACCCTCCTGCCATCAAGTACCCCGACCACCTGCACATCTCCACCTCCCCGTGCTGAGCCCCGCGCCCCGCCGCGGCCGGGACTTAACTCGGGACCCCGCGCGCCCGCCCGAGGAGGCGGCCCTGGCTCCGGGCCCCGCCCCTCGCCGCAGCGCCGTCTCATTGGCTCTGACCTCGGTGGCTCCGCCTCCTCACGGTCGCATCTCATTGGCCTCTGACCTCGGTGGCTCCGCCTCCTTACCGTTGCATCTCATTGGCCTCTGACCTCGGTGGTTCCGCCCCCGCACGCCTTTCCCCGCCCCTCTCCGGGTTCTCGCGGCGCCCCGACCTGCTCCCTTACTGCAGGGGCGCAGGGCTGGAGGTGCGGGTTCCGGTATCCCCCAGGAATGTCAGCCGACCTCTCCCCTTGACCTGACTTCTCCCTTTCTCGCCCAGGCCCCCCTTCACTTCGGATGCGGGGCACAGTTCTGGGGGCGCCTGGCTCCTCACGCAGCGCCGGGCCCGGGGGTCCCTCCAGCCTTGCCCTCCTGCACCCCGTCCTTTCTCTGTGCCCCCTGGGAGAGCGCCATCTGGGGCATCTCCCCGCTGTCCAGGCTGCCTTCGGCTCCCCTCCCCTGCTGCTCCGGTCCACCGCACCAAGCACCGCCTGGGGACCCCCGCGACGGGCCCTCGGCTGGAGGAGGTTCCTCTCGCCACATCCACACCTGTGCCAGCCTCTTCCCCCTCGGCCAGTCGGGGGAGGGAGAGGCAGTAGCGGGGGGGGGCACTGCCCCCCCCACCTCGAAGTCTTCCATTTTCTGGCACTCCCCTCATTGAAGCCCCCCCTTCCCAACTCTGGCCTCTGTCAAGGGTCCGTCCATGCCCTTGGGCAAATTCGGAGGTGGAGGGGGATCCCCAGAAACTCGCCAGCACCCCCTCTTGTTAGGGGAGTGGGCGAGGTAGCACAGTCGTACACACGGAACCAGAGGGCCCCGGGGAGGGGGGAGGGGGCGGGGGGGGCTTTTAGTTCGCATCTCTGGGCGGGAGGGGGTGGGGGAAGCGCCTCAGTTAACCTGTCTTCATGCAGCGATTTTTAACGAAGCTGAGGGGAGGGGGCGGGGGGCCTGGCTCTGTTATTTACCGTGTATCATATGTAAATACCGACAGAAACTTCAATAAACTTTATTTCAAACACAAACGTCTCTGCATGCCCCGGAGAGGGGATCGAACACCCAGGGCCTTGATCTCCGTCCCTAGAACCTAAAAGGGTTAGGCATATCTATTGCTTTGGGGGCCACACCCTGCAGTGCTTGGGGATCACCCCTAACCGGTTTGGGGTCCCTGTAAATGCTGGAGATTCAACACGGGTCAGTGCAGGCTAGGCCAGCACCCTCTGCCATTCTCTTGCTCCTACGTGTCCTCAGCATTTCAGCAAGTGGGAGGGCAAATGTCACCATCTGGGATTCCCACAGCTTGTCAACTCGGGTCTCGCCTGAGCCCTGAAGTGCTTTCCCTTCCTCCCCTTCCGCCGCAGTCACAGCATCCGCAGCAGAGACGACTTCCTGCTGCAGCCAGAGCAGGACTGAGTCAGTGCTCGCAGGCTGCAGATCTGTCCAAGGAAGTGAGGGTGACTCCTGGAAAATTTGGTGGCACCAGGGGCAGAAGCTGGGTGCACAGGGCGTCCAGACAACAGCTCCGGTATAATGTACAGCTGCTGGGAATTGCTTGACTCCCAAGGCATTCCCAGCTGTCCTGAACAGAGGAACAATGTGCAGTACACTCATATGCACTCGCATGCACGCTCAAGCATGAACGTATGCACACTTGCACATATGAGCATGCCTATACACACACATGCACAGGAATGTGCACACGTATGAGCATGCACACATGTGCACATGCACTCATACGCACAAATGCACGTGTGGCACCAGCTCGGTGGGGGTTTGCAGTGCCTGATTTCTCTTACCACTCCACTGGGGATTGAAAGCAACCAACAAGTTTGATAAACGGATCATTGAACTGCTTTGTCTGGGCAACAAACTGTGTTCAAAGGGTTTGTGCAGGTGGTTTGCGTGCAGGAAGCCGTACATGGATCCCCAGCAATGATACACCACACCACCAAATCCCAGCTGGAAGAAGGAAGCGGGAGAGAGAGAGAGAATGGGGGAGAGAGAGAGAGAGAGAGAGAGAGAGAGAGAGAGAGAGAGAGAGAGAGAGAGAAAGAGAGAGAGCGAGAGCGAGCGAGCGAGCGAGCGAGAGAGAGAGAGAGAGAGACAGAGACAGAGACAGGGTGGGAGGGAGAGAGAGGAATTAATTGCAACGGAAGCAGCTAGTTTTTCGGTTCTTTGCCTGATCTAGATTTAGCTTCTTGGAGGCCAATCAGATCTTCCTAAGCACCACAACATTGATCAAGCTCGCCCAAGGTGCCAGACCCTCTGCTGAACCAGTTTTTTATTCGGATGATCATTGAATACTCACAACTAGTTTCAAATTAGCTCATTCTAATGAGTCCCGTTTTCGAGAGGGAGAAACTGAGGCTTTGGGTACAAAGTCACCCTAAAGGGAGAAACTGAGGCATTGGGGACAAGGTTGCTCAGCTGACCAGATGCCAGCAGTTGCTGACATTGATTCTCTCCTGATGCTGGCATGTCACTACCGAAAACTGAATGCAAACTCATTCTGCGACCTTGAGTCAGTGTTTTTAGCTCTAAGACTTCAGTTTCCCTTCCTGTAAAAACAAAACAACAGAGAAATGGGGAGTTTGGGCCAGACTGACTCCCAATCTCTGCGGAGCTCAGCCAAACAGGAGCTGAGCGAGTGACCTAGGTGGGGGAGCAGGAAAGAATTCAGATTCAGCAGTCACATCCACCAGGGGAATGTTCTGAGTCTTTTCCAACCATTTCAGGAGTTTCTGGAGGTCATGCTTGAGATTTGGGGTAACAAACGGGCTTGTGCTTCAGTCGAGCGTGATTCTGAGAGGATGGAAGGAGGCTGCCAGGCTGCTGGGGTGGGGGGGCCCCAGGGGGCTGCCATCCACTCAGTGGAAAGGGCTATCCGGATTGATTGGTGCTGCCTGAAACCTGTTCTACTGCTGCCGCCTGTCTGTAGGCTGCTGCTTCCTTTGTGGCATGGGCTTGGATAGTTGCTTTTCGGCTTTTGTTTGTTTGTTTGGTGGCCATACCTGGCAGGGGACTTTATGAGGTTCCAGATATCAAACCTGGTTAGCCCTCCCTGCTATACTATGGCCCCCTCCCCCTTTATTTTTCTTTTTGGTCACACACAAGGGTGCTCAAGGGTTACTCCTGGCTCTGCACTGAGGAATTACTTGTGGCAGGCCTCAGAGGACCATATGGGATGCCGGGGATCAAACCCAGGTCAGCCGCATGCAAGGTAAGCGCCCTCCCCGCTGTAGGGGGGGCACACCCAGCAGTGCTCAGGGACTCACTCCTGGATCTGTGCTCAGGGATCACTTCTGGCGGGGCTTAGAAGATCATATAGGGTGCCGGGGATCAAACCCTGGGTCTGTCAATTGCAAAGCAAGTGCCTTACCAAATGTACTATTGCTCCGACCTCCTTTTTTCTTCCTTTTCATTTAAAAGGAATGTTGTAGGATCAGAGTAAGAGTCAAGTGGGGAGGACGCTTACGTTGCACATGCCTGACTTGGTTTAGTTCCCTGGCACCCTGTACAGTCCCCTGAGCGCCACCAGGGGTGACTCCTGGGTTCAGATCCAGCAATAAGCCCTGAGCATCACCAGGCGTGACCTAAAAACAAAACAAAACAAAACAAAACAAAGGGGATGTTGTAGAAAGTCATCTCTGCTCTGATCTCCTGTCCCTCAGAAACCCCTCCCCCCCAACATGCTATGGTGTCTGGGTTCAAGAATCCTATGTGCTGGCCCAACAGATAGGGACAGGGCTTAAGGCACTGACCTTGCATGTGGCTGACACTGCTTGGATTCCCAGAACTGCGTGGTCCCCCAAGTTTGAGTATCACCAGGAGGGACAGTGCCAGGGGTGGCCTTCACTCTGGTGTGTCCCAAACTTTCCCATACCCCACCTGTGCTTTGTGTATGTTTGAGCAATGCTGCAGAGGTTGAATCTCCCTCCTTGCCACCCCCACATACACACACACACACACACACACGCATACACAGATACAACTATGCACATATAGACACATACACAGGCACACACAGAAACACACAGAAACACGCACACAGACACACAGAGACACACAAACACATAGACACCAAGACACACATGGAGCACATCATGCTTATCAACACACGTTCATCATGGCTTCTGCACATTTTCTTGTCATCTCATGGGTCACAGTTGCAATCCATCTGTGGCACCACCGAAAAAGTCTTGCCCCCCTAGATCCCCAATTACAGCCACCCTTTAATGCTCGTTATATAAGACCAGGCTTTTTTCCAAGACTTTGCAATGATACTAGTTTGCATAAATTAATTGCCTAACCTATTGGGTGTTTTTTATGTGACATCTACTTTGTATTCAGTGACCCAAGGAATTGATGCGTTTTCACCCCAGTTTTATAGATCTCTCTCTCTCTCTCTCTCTCTCTCTCTCTCACACACACACACACACACACACATGCACACACACACATGCACACACACACATACACATGCACAGGGAAGTTAGTTAACTTTTCTAGTCGCACAAATAAGTGGTCAGGCTAGGATTTGAAACCTGAGTCTCCTGAACTGACCATGCTGCCATGCTGGATCTTTTGGTTCTGTCTAAAACTCCACATGTGTAGAAGCCTCAGAGATCCGCTGATTCTCCAGCACCCTTTCCCCACAGCGCACACGTTCATTTAGTTTACTGAAACAGTGCTTCACACCAGTGCTTCTCAAATTGTGACTTCAGGGTCCAGGGCAGTACCATGACCTGTTTGGAGATCCACAAGGTCAGAGAGGTCAGTTCCATTTTGCTCCCTCTCCCATTCATCCTCTCTCTATTTCTTTCTACTCTTTTTTCTCCCTCCCTCCCTCCCTTCCTTCCTTCCTTTCTTCCTTCCTTCCTTCCTTCCTTCCTTCCTTCCTTCCATCTTCTTTCCTATCTTCCTTTCTTCCTTCCTTCCTTCCTTCCTTAATTCCTTCCTTCCTTCCTATCTTCCTTTCTTCCTTCCTATCTTCCTTCCTTCCTTCCTTCCTTCCTTCCTTCCTTCCTTCCTTCCTTCCCTCCTCCCCCCCCCCCTTTCTTTCTTCCTCCAATGCAGCCTAGTTTATTTTTGTTCAATAATT